TTTGTTAAAAATAAAAAAGTGTGTATTGAAGTCTTCCAATAATTAATCTATTTGGAAAGTGTATTTAAAGTGTATTGAAGTTAACTTAGTATAAAGTATTAATATTGGTTTGTTAAAAATAAAAAAGTGTGTATTGAAGTCTTCCAATAATTAATCTATTTGGAAAGTGTATTTAAAGTGTATTGAAGTTAACTTAGTATAAAGTATTAATATTGGTTTGTTAAAAATAAAAAAGTGTGTATTGAAGTCTTCCAATAATTAATCTATTTGGAAAGTGTATTTAAAGTGTATTGGAAGTTAACTTAGTATAAATTATTAATATTGGTTGGTTAAAAATAAAAATGCGTACATTGGAATCTTCCAATAAAAAAATTTCCAATTATCCAAACGTTTTTATTGGAATTTCAATTATACTAAACTTGATTGGAACAGCCAATTATTCGAATTCCGATCGGGAAAATGCTGTAAGATGATTTTCAAGACAAAGACCTCAAGTGTGTTCTTACGTATCTTAGTATGATCATAAACTCTAATGTATATTGTGACACATATTGTTTAACGTCTATTTAAAATTAAATCACTATATAAAATCTAATCCTATACTACGTACGTAGTAGTTAAAAGGAAATTTTTTACTTGTTAAGGAAAGGTCTTTAATTACATATTTTAATTACATATTATAAATCACGCATTCTGCGTAGTAAGTTTTCACCTTATGGGTGTCAATTTCCGGTATATACGTAGTGTGAAACTAACTTCTTGGCGTAAATATCATTATCGGAATTATCAGAATCATAATATTTAACGACAAAACTATACGTACTATATATCTGGTAAGTTGATATGTATTTATAAAATGATTGATAATATTATTACGTAACGAAAATTCATATATTGTATTTGCGTGAAAATGGCAATTAACAATTAGTGATGCAGTAGAATTGTCGTAATTTGCGTAACTATAGTTAGTAATAATATTTATAGTAAATTACAGCTATAATGCCGCAACTTACTATCAGCTATATTACTATATGGTTACAATTCTACATTATTGTCACATTAGTGAGAGGTTACAGTATTAGTGATAGACATTCTAATACTACGTAATACACCTTTTAGGAATTCAAGGAAGTAATTTTTTTAGGAGTACTAGAGGGAGAAAGGGAGGCAATAATTTCGATAGACATAGATTTTTCTCCTGAGTGACTAATGACCTACAACATCGAAATTATATTTTTCTCCTGAGTGATTAATACACCAACGAAATTATGTATAAGTCTAACTCAATGGGACAAAATAGACCCCACCTCATCTAACAAAAATTAAATACAATGAATTTCTTTATTCAAGGAATTGATTCGATGCGTCATAGAAGGTAATTAATATATCCGAACGGATAAATCGGATAAATCGGATATAATCAAATATACCCAATATGTCTAATGATAATGAACCATTTTATATTATATATAGCGATACCCTAACCAAATTAATAAGGCCAATGAATTTTATAGACTTTTTATAGAAGTTTTTCGGAACCAATTTAATTTACATATATCATTTTGGTATGCGATACCTAACCAAATTAAGAGTTTTTTCGGAACAAATTTAATTTACATAATATCATTTAGATACTTTTTCAGCCTTTAATAAGATCGATAACGTAATTAAATAACATATACGTACATAGTAAAATTGTAAAAAGTACGTGCATACGTACTACGGTAATTAAAGTTGGTTTGCTCATATTTGCTCATATTTACTTATATTATGCTTTACATAAAAATGAAACAAAATATGAGAAAGTTATAGTGATAAATAAACTTGGCAAACATGGATAAAATGTAATAAATAAATTTTTTTTAATGAATGTAACAAATATTTTTGAAGAATATTTTACAAACTGTAGATATTGCTTTTGCGTATCCATCTTAAATTTGAGACCATCATAATTTGAGTACGGTTGTGCACACACCATATGATGCACATCACTTTAACTCCTGCAAGAATCTTCCTGAAATGCAACCCCTTAATGCAATAAATGATAAGAGTTAAAAAAGATCTTTCGATTTTTCCATAGAGACCCCTTAACTATGCATTTAGGTCTGAATGTACCCATAGAGGTTGACAGTAGATATAATTTTAATTAATTTAACGTTAGCGTTAAGTAGAATTATGTATACAAACCGTTTAACTGCTTAACTGCTAAAAAATTAATCCCCCCAAAAAAAATTCCGATGTCTAATTACAATGGATATTGGTGGGAAATATTTTAATGCGTGCTAAATTAAACATTAGAAAAAAAATGGCTAAACGATTAGAAAATTATCAGTTACGTATGTATGTATAATCCTTAATTGTTAGTGATCTGTAGTACGATAAATTAACCAGTAAAAAAAATGAAAGGAAATAATAAATAAACAATATATAATAAATAAATATAATAAATATTTTTTTTTTTACAAATGGAAATTTTATTTAAAGAAGTTCATTCAATTACCTATAATTAGCTTTTTACCCAGCACAAATAAAGAATTATTTTGGTAAACTAATACTTAAAAAAAGGAATCTTTAGATTAAACATCAATATTCTTTTTTGTTAACTGTACGTACGTACGTACAGTACTGTCAAAAATTGGCATATTTTTTTTGCACTTAGGTCCGGCAATCAGAATCTGCGTTACCGTACTACTTTACTAAAACCTTACTAAAACCTTAGATGGAATATTTATAAACAAGTCGTCCGATGTTTATATGTAGAGTCCGTTGATAATTGCATAAACCCTCAGACCGAATTAGGTTATTAGACATACTTGGACATACTTATACATACCTGGGCATACTGTTATTATAGTGAAAGGATTTAATACCATTGTAGTGTTAGCGTTACATACAGCTACGTAAGTACGTATATACGTACGTATCAGGTATATACGTACGTACGTAACGTACGTTTATTCGCACTAAGATTCTATATATTATTTTTTCTTTGTATAATACGTACGACGAAAAGCGATACTGATATCGTTAATTTATTTAGAAATAATTTACCGGATCATAAACATCTGAGAATTGTAAAATCTATTTTTAAAAAGTTTGAAAAATCATGTCAAAATAAATCGGCTGATCCTCAAGTTATTTATAACAATTACAAAAAAACAATTACAAAAAATCATTGAAGAATATGAAGAATATTGGCATTAAGTTAATTTAACAATAATAACATACATAGCATTAACGTTAAGAAATAGCAACTTAATTAACAGTAGGTTAACAGCAGATTAACAGTAGATTAACAGTAGATTAACAGTAGATTTATAGTAGTCATAAGTATTATTTAATGTTAAGCAGTATGTATGTACGTACGTACGTACGTAGCGATAATAACTCATTATTAAATGTACATTTAAAGTTAAAATATCGATATAAATGTGTAAGTTGCGCCATTTTTTTCTCGTGTAACCGGAGGTTGGCGTTAATTTCTGAGGTCGAGAATGCGAATTCTTTGGATTATATTAATAGACAACAAATATAAAAAAAGATCAAGCGGTATTTTTGCGGTTTTTGTATTATATAAAAATAAAGTTAAAATTTATGGTTTAATAATCATGTATGTATCTTGACTCCGGCAGGAACGCATGTACGCGTCCTGACTCCGACAGCTAACAATTGTTAAATTTAGAATTTTATATATATATTTTTTTAACGTTGAATTAAAAAACTTGGGTTAATTCTTAGTTTATCAATATGATCTAAATTTTCATATTTAAATAAAGTAACATAATAAATAAAATATAATTAAACAATTTATTCGCTTTGAAAATTTATAATTAAGGAATCAATTAAGGGGTATGCATGCATTTTCAACTCTTTGAATTTAGTTTGAAACAGAGTAAAATGAATAATAACTGATTTTTTTTTCGAGTTATCTACAAAAGGAACGCTTAATAGTTCGAAATTGATTCAAGTTTTCTTTCGATCGATCATATGCCAAGAATTGGGTTTGATTCCTAAAAATATCTATTTTCGGGATGTATATTTATGTTTCTAAAAAAAAAAAATAGACTACCTGTATATCCAAATATATATATATATTAATATGATTATATTTGACATCGACAATAATACAATAATGATTTACATGCTTATATGTACACGCATTTACGTATACGTACGTACGTACGTGTCTGTACGTAGGTACGTAGGTACGTACGTAGGTACGTAGGTACATAGGGTACATAGGACACATAGTACATGTCTGTACGTAGGTACATAGGGTACATAGGGTACATAGGGTACATAGGATACATAGCACATAAGTACATGTGCAAGAGTGATTTATTTTATCGAGATCTTTTAATATTATTATTCTATGAATTTGCTCAATATAGAAGAATTGAATTACATTCAAAACCTTTTTTTTTATACAATGAGTTCTTTTAGCTTGTTCGAATTGTACCTTGATTAAAAATAGTTAGATCCTTCCTATTCTGCACTCCTTATGTTAATACTTAAAATAGAAAAAAAAAAACTTGGTAATTAACTTGTTCAATTTATTTTTTTTGCCTACTACATAGAAGGCTAATTTAATTGTTTTTTTTTAATGCAGATTTTTTTAAAAATAAAGGTATGCATGTAGTGCATATTACTGTTTTGTACTATGACTTTGTCAAAAATAGTTTCAAGAAATGCGTTTTTGGAATACGCGATTCTTGTTGGATGTGTACAATTCCTTCGAACTTAATAACAAATGATTATAAAAACCCTCGATGAAGGATCTTGAAAATTTCAGAAAACAAAAAAAAAAACAAAAACTAATAATCTATTAAAGATAATAAAAAAAATAATAGTAAATAGTAAATAACAACAATAAATAATAATCAAAATATTATTTTATTTTTCTTCGCTTTAAAAAACATGAGAACAATAAAATATTCTTTTCTGCTCATTTTCCTACTTGGCGTCTGGGTCTCTGCAATACCCGTCGCGGAATTCCCTGAAAAACGAGATGATTACGTTACTTCTAATATATTTGAACCTATAGTTATTCCTGAAAAACCTGACCAACCCCAAGTTCGCAAATACACTTTAAAATTAAGTCAAAAAGATTTCGCTCCTGATGGTTTTCAGCGTTTATGTTCCTTAGTAAATGATCAATATCCCGGTCCTCTTCTTCAAGCTTATAAAGGTGATACATTCTCTATAACTGTGGAAAATGACCTTCCTGTTGAGACGTCAATGCATTGGCATGGAATGTTTCAAAGAGGAACTCCGTGGTATGATGGTGTACCCGGAATGACTCAATGCGTAATTCCTCAAAAGTCCTCTTTCACCTATGAATTCTCCGTTGAGAGTCAAAGTGGAACTTATTGGTGGTAAGTATTCACGATCATATGTTATCAAAAATATTTAACTAATATAACTAATATAAATATTATAACTAATATAAATATTTTTAACGTTAATGTTAATTTTAATGTCAATTAATTAGGCATTCACATTACATGTCTCAATACATTGATGGCTTGCTAGGCCCCTTGGTCATTCATGATAAGGATGATCCATACGTGAAAGAATACGATTACGAATATGTGGTTACCTTAACTGATTGGTATCATGGACAATCCAAGGATTTATTGGCTCAATTCTTGACTCCAGGATATACAGGACTTAATGTTAGTACTATCAACTTTTATTTACATTTTTATTTACACTTTTATTTACACTTTATTTACACTTTTATTTATCTACATTTATATGTCTCATATTTAATATATTTTTTTTTTGTAATTAGCCCGTCCCTGATTCAGGTCTTATAAGTGGAAAAGGTCAATACAATTGCGATGGTAAATCTGGATCCAAATGCTCTCCTTATGCCGTTTACAAAGTTAAAAAAGGAAAAAAATATAGATTCCGTATCATTAATACCAGGTATTTTAAATTTATAATCTCTTAATTAATTCAAGTTAAAATTAATACTTACTTGAAATTACTTGAAATTACTTGAAATTTATTCATATGAATAGTGCTGAAGCATATTACGCCTTTTCAATTGATGGTCATAAGATGAAAATAATTGAAGTTGAAGGAACTTTGGTTAAACCCGTCGAAGTTAATCAACTTGGCCTTCATATAGCTCAACGATACTCTGTGATAGTTGAAGCTAATCAAGATGGTGGAAACTTCTGGATGCGTGCTAATATGTCCGAATCCTGTATTGGTAAAAATAATCGGACTATTAATGCTAACTCACTTCTCAACAATGATGTTCGCGGCATCCTCTCTTATGAAGGTTCCGATGATAAAGTTCCTAATTCTCAAGCATTCCCTGATGAAGTTACTCCATGTAGAAATCTTGACAGTAAAAAATTAAAACCATTAGCAGATGCCCCATGCCCTGATAAAACTGATTCTCTTTCACTCAACGTAACATTTGGTCGTAGTGCAAAAAATGTATCTGAAGCAAGGATAAACAATTCAAGTTACGTTCCAACTTATTCAAACCCAACACTTTTGGGCATTATTGAAAATAACCTTGATGTAAAAACTTTGCCAAGATCACAAAACGCACATTCATTTGACAATGAAAAGGGTATTCTTGAAATAACCGTGTTTAGTAAGTTATAACTTATTATTTTTATTCTTGAATATTATTAAATATTATCAAACCTTTATTAATTGTTTAAAAAAATATTATTTATATATTTGTTTAGATAATAATTCGGCTAATCATCCATTCCACATGGTAAATATTACACACTTTTTTTTTTAATAATAATAATAATAATAATAATAATAATAATAATAATAATAGTAATAATAACATTACTAATACTATTATTACTATTCTTACCATTAGCACGGTGCCAATTTCTGGCTCTTGGGAGAAGGTGCAGGACAAAAAGTTGACGAAGGTTCTTTAAATAAGCAAGATCCCCCGATTCGTGATACTACAATAATTCCAGCTAACGGATGGTCGGTTTTGCGTATGAGGACCGAAAATCCTGGTGTTTGGAGTTTCCATTGTCATATTGAATGGCACATTGAACTTGGTATGGCAGAACAATTGGTCTTTGTCCCTTCAAAATTAAAGGATTTCAAATTACCTGATAGTGTTAAAGGTTTATGTAAATCAGGATATTAAAAAAACAATTTGTTTTTATTTATTTATTCTTTTTTTTTTTTAATTAACGGACATTTCAACCTTAATTTTTGTTTGTCTTTTTTTTTTTTCTTTTTTCCTTTAGACAAATAATGTTTAAAATTTTAAAATTTTAAAATGGTTGTATTTAAAATTTTGAAAATATTGTATTTTAGAGTGTTATAAATGTTGTACTTAAATTTGTACTTAAATTTGTACTTAAATTTTACGATTTTAATAAATTCATATCATCAGAAACATTTAATTTAACAAATGAAAAATATTGTATTTTAGAGTGTTATAAATGTTGTACTTAAATTTTACGATTTTAATAAAATTCATATCAAAAACATTTAACAAATGAAAAAAAAAAACCTTCTCAAATAGATGCAAAACATCAATCTTTTTTTTTTTTTTTATAATAGTGTGATTATTTCTTTCTTTATTATTCATGGAGTTTGGAACAGACTTTATTTATAAGAAATAAATTGGTTAAAAGGAATCGGTTAACAAGATTAACAAGGTTAACAAGAATCGATTTTAAATTCCATTTGGTATAAAAAATAGCAAAGTTAATAGTAGAAATTGTCGGAAATAATTTAATAGTAGAAATTGTCGGAAGTTAATATAACT